AGCAGGATCGCAGGCCTGAGCTCATCTCTCTCTGCCTCCTGCACCCTCCCCCCATCTCTCCCTCTGCACAGCTCTCTACTACACCCCTTGCCCCCACCCTGGGAGGCCAAAAGCACAGAGATGAATAGCTGGGAGTAACCCACTCCTGCCCTCCCAGGGTCTCCCTTCCCCCTCACCTCCCCAGGCTCAGTCCGAGTTCTTCTTCTGGGTGTAGCTCTGGATGGAAAGCTGGAAGTGCTCGGTGGTGTTGAGCTCCGTGCGGAAGAGGATGATGTAGCCCTTGGGGAGGAAGTAGCCCCCGAAGAGCCCGGCCAGGGTGCACAGGTTGGACAGCACGGTGATGGCCGCCAGGTACTTGCCCTGGTAGAAGACCCATGTGGCGAGGTAGCAGATGAAGCAGACAAAATTGATGAGCAGGCTGAAGGTGACGCACTTGGCCTCATTGTAGTTCTCGGGCAGGTCTTTCCCCAGGTAGCTGATGACAAAGCAGCAGATGCTGAGCAGTGTGTTGTACAGCAGGCCCCACGAAGAGCTGTCTTCTGAGCACTGCAGGATGATCAGGGTATCCTCCGTTGTGTAGTCCTTCCTGGGCACGGAGGGGCTGGTGCTGAGCGAGACCAGGCACACGACCAGCTGGGTGGCTGTGCAGGCTGCGATGAACAGGCTGGGCCCGCTGTGCCTTACCCAGGCGCCATAGAAGGCAGGCCACTTGGAAGCCAGTTTGAAGACGCAGACGATCTGGAAGGAGCGGGTCGCGATGCACGAGAGGCAGACGGTGAAGCTGATGGAGTAGACAGGCAGCCGCAGGAGGCACGCGGGCCGGGTGGGCTCCCCGAAGTAGCAGTAAAGGCTGCAGCAGGCACAGATGAGCGTGCCCAGCATGAGGAAGCACGACCTGCCGCCTGCCGACTTGACCACCGGTGTGGGGAGGTTCTGGGCGAAGAGGACAGCCGTCCCAGCCAGCAGCAGCAGCAGCAGCGTGATGGCCGCCAGCAGGGCCCAGGAGACGGGCTCGTCCCAGGACAGGAATTCCGTGGTCCGATTGAAGCAGATTTCACTCCCCACGGGGGCCCACTGGTCTGTCCCACAGGGCTGGCAATTGTAGAGGTCTGCAGAAGAAGGGAACGGAGGAGCTGAGGCCACTCGCACCCCCTCTCAGGACGGTAAGAATGACTTGCTGCCTTCTAGCACCTCTTGATGGGAAGAATCCCAGAGCCCCTAACAAGTGACATGCAAGGATCACCCCACCCGGAGGGAGCTGCTGCAGACAAGCCAGTCCTTCTGCTGGTGCTTTGGGTCTCTAATGACCCGGGACGGACACGCCGCCTGCAAACGAGGCTCAGGGAGACAGCGCGACAGGGACAGACCCTGAGGCCTCGGCCCTGGTGCGGCTCTGAGGACAGTGATGGTCCTACGAGCCCGCTGGGAGGCCGTGGGGGGATATGGAAAGGAGTCAAAATGAGAGAGCTGGAGTCCGTAGAGTGAGCTCCGCTCAGCTGCTGTTGGCTTAGCTGGAGGAGCTAAGCTCAGAGAGGGCCAGGTCCCTCTGCAGCACAGCTCAGGCAGCCAGACGCCTCTGGAGGGGGCGGGGGCGGGGGCTCCAGCCTGCAGCCCCACAGAAGCCGGGATGTCTGCAGCAGCGGCTCGCCCCTCTCCCTGCGGGGGAGTTCAGCCTGGCCAGGCCGCTGAGTAGCTTACTCCTGAGGCTCCTTGCCCTTGCGATGGCCCAAGGCTGCTCTAGCAGGCTGCAGGGGCTGTCGGCATCTGAGTGCCAGGGCCTAGGAGGGTCCCTTGCCACAGGTTTGCATGTGGAGCTGGCACAGGAGGGATCAGCTGATCCCTGGCGGCCAGCTGGCGTCCAGGCATTTCCATATCCAGCCAGTCCCGCTGCGGTGAGCGCTTCCCCGGGGCTGCTCCTGTGGTCAGGCTTTGCCTGCCAGGATCTTCCCCCAGGCAGGCAGCAGCTGGCACCCCCGTCGCCCCCCGCCAAAGCTTACACGGGGGGAGTCGGGCAGCTTCAGCTCACCTGGCCGTGTGAGTCCCAGCTGGGAGCCCTGTGAAACCACAGAGCCGGCACCTGCTGCGGGGGGGACTCCGCAC